GGGGAAAGGAATTGAAGGACTATATTTGGAAATATGCAACATCAGGTACAATCTCAGAGTTCAACAATGCTTTAAAGAACTTAGCCAAACTCCTCCCAGCAGTAGAGCATAGATACTACTGCCTAAGACATATACATGACAACATGAAACATAAATGGAGGGGAAAGGAATTCAAGGACTATCTTTGGAAATATGCAACATCAACTACAATCCCAAAGTTCAACAATGCTAGAAGAACTTAAGAAACTAAACCCTGCAACATATGAGTGGCTTAAGACTATTCCAATTAAGCAATGGTCCATATCCTATTTTTCAGGTAATTCAAATTTTTGATAATCCAATCCTTAGATTTAGTTAAAGTGTCTAATATAATGCTTTGCTTGAATTAACCAGAGAGGGCACACTGTTATGGTTTGTTGAATAATATGTGAGAGAGTTTTAATAGCAAAGATAACTAAGGGTCATGATAAGCCATTATCACTCGCTTAGAGTTTATTAGGGAGTACATCACGAGGAAACTTTTCATTGTCCAAAAGGAAATTTATAAATATTTTAACGACCTAATTTCAGAACCAAAAATTATGATTTTTATTAGAGTAAAACTTCCCAAATATAAATCCATTATTAAGAAAACAACATACATTTATTGAAAATCAGAGTAATATTAAAGAGAAAAATCTTCATTGCTGTTAATGAATGTGTACTGCCTTCGCCTTCCCATGATAACCGATGATACCTGAAAAAAGTAAAAAAACTGGGTAAGTACAATGCTTAGTGAGTTCCACCAAAATACCCCATACGATAAACATACAATCATGAATAACGGCCCACAATCATCAAATTGAAATGCCCAGGCCCAATTAGTCCTTAGACTAGAATTTCAACATGCAACGGGTCCAATCAGCCATCGGGCTGGAATACCCTCAGGTCCCAAGCCATCGGCCTGGATAACCCCCGACCCAATCAGTCATCAAACAGAATTGCTAATATGTAACAGGCCCAATCAGTCATCGAACTAGTATACCCTCGGGTCTACAGTTATCGGGTTGGATTACCCCCGGTCTGTTGGCTCACGCACAAAGCAGGACCGCCTCAACCCACTACCACCATATGTCGACATATATACAATCAAGGATCAAGTAGGCACATAATACATGCAAACATCAATCATACAACTCACTAACGCCTACTAGTCATCTTACAACACACTTTCCCGCTACCAGCTAACCTCCATGAAATGTGTAACCATAAGTAACTAGAGGTAAGATCGCCACCCGAACAAATGATCCTACTCTATAGACACAACCATACAAGGAACATGCATGAAATCCTAGATCAAGAGTTCTCAGGCTATCGTACATGACTACATACAGCCCCTAGGGCACTCTACTAGATGATAACTACTATATCATTACTACAACATCCTATCATATAAGGATATATACTCTAGCAGATCACTATAGCATAACAACATCCTATATACCAGGTTATAGATCTAACAGATCACCATAACATAACAACATCCTACATACCAGGATACACAACCTAGTGTGCCGGTATTGACGCCTTCGAACCACATGTAAAGTGAGGGAAAGTCACCTGAACCGAAGAACTCTAAAACAGTACGATACAATCCCCTTTTTGCACAATTTGCACCCGCGAATCCACTAACACCAGAACCAGATAAAATCTTAATTAATAGCCAAAAGTCGTCAAGTTTGAACCAAATTCAAACTTGGTCAAAAGTCAACGGTCAACGAAAATCAATGAAAGTCAAAGTCTAAGGCAGCTGAGTACGCCTAGTGTACGCAACGTACACCCAACATACTCAACGTACGCCCCAACGTATGCTGCCTTTCCTCACTCCTCCATTAAGCACTTTATCCTTTAAGGCTTTTTGTCCAGTGCTCAGATCTAGAATCAGAACATCGAATTAAGTCATAAAGTTTCCACTTTTATGACTTTCCATGGCTAGAAAAGGTCCAAAAGCTAAAATCCTAACTTATTAATCCATTAAGATATCTAACTCTTGCATGGAAAGGATAGAAGGACCAAGTTTACATTTTTATGGATCCTACTAGCTCCATAATGGATAAAGTTTCCAACTTTATCCATTAGGATGTTCCAAAGAACCAAGACCTAGTCTTTAAGTCTCAAAGGGACAAAAAGCGCATCTCTCATAACTTAATCCATTAAGTCTAAGTCTCCAACCTTCAGATCTGAATCAATATGATGTTTAGATGGATAAAGTTTCCAACTTTATCCATAAATTGGTCACAAACTTTCAAGATCTAAACTTTATGCACTAAATTGACCAAAAGCTCATTACACCCAAAACTAGTTAGATCTAACAAATGCATCATCAAGATTTAAGCTTTATACCTCCAGAAGAAAGATCAAGGTGAAAAAGGTCTGGATCTACAAGATCCAATGCAACCAAAACTTTTCCAATGAGCTCATTCTTCTCCAAGTTGAACCAAGAACACTCCAAAGCACTTAAAAACACCTTCTTTTTCTAACAAGGCTCAAACTAGGGTTAGGGTTTCAAGGGAGGACGTGGAGAGGTGGAGGATAAGAATGGCAAGCGTTTGGTGAAGTTAAGGAGCTTAAATATGACTCAAAACCCTGAAATTATTGTTTGGGTTCTGATCATGTACGCCCAGCATACTCCTAGTACACCCAACGTACCAGGTTGAATCTCCACGATCATCCTTCCCTAGTACGCCCAATGTACACCCTGTACACCAAACGTACTAGGCTAAACCCAAAACCTACCTAACTTCTAACAATCACAACTTCTTCGTTTCAACTCGATTTTCAAAGATCTTTATATCCACAGAAAGGTATTAAAGAGCCCCATAATATTATCTAACTATCTTGGACTAAAAACTTCCTAAAAATTCCATATTTCACGCAAGAACCTGGCCTAAGACTTATCCCTTTGTACCCTTCGGCCCAAAACACATTTCAATGGTTAAATCTCTTAACCATCATTACCTCCTTCCAAAAGGACTAAACTTTGCCTCCTTAAAGCCCAAAGCCATTACATAATCGAATTCTGACCCACGACCCTAAAATAAGAAACAAAAAGAAACAAGATGTCACCATTCTCCCCCACTTAAATTAGATTTTGTCCTCAAAGTCAGCTCTTGCTTCCACTTCATGATGCAACCCCTCACATCAACCAAACTCTCTGTAAATCCGTAGATTTCATTGGCTCAAGACCTTCTCAGCCAAATGTTGTCATGCTAATCCAACACATAAGTGCACCATCATGACGAAAACCAACTCGTCACATACTAAACTAGTCCACACTCTGTTGGGTCATATTTATGGTTTATGCCGGGCTACAATTGTTCTTGGGCTTAGGGACGTATATTATTAATGGGCAAAGGTTGTTCTCGGTTTAGGGGACTGAAATCACTTTGGTGATTTCGGTCAGGTAGTTTTGGGCCGTGATAAGTCTTTGTATTTCGTATAAATATGTTTGAGTTGAATGTTTTAGTTCTAGTTGTTCATTCATATCATTCGGCTGTGAAAAGGTTCTCCTATCTACCAGACGATTTACTCAATAGAATCGTGTGCATTTGAAGTGATTTTTGTGTGTTCTTGAATCATTGCTTGATTAATATTCCACATTCTTTAAGCAATTAAGATTGATATTGTTAAGATTCATAGTTTTGGGACTTACAATTGGTATCAGAGCAATAAAGGGTATCAATCGATTCAAGGACTTTGGGTTCGATATGATAAGGCTAAAATCCTTATAGATCGAATAGATTCTAAACAAGTATAATATAAACACGAAATAAAGTAAGAACAAAGAATGAATATATCAATGTGTCAAATGATTAAAAGTCACGCCTCAGAAGAACTCTATGAAGAATTACTATTATAGAGGCGTGCTATGGTTTACAATAATATCTCTATTACAACGTTAACAATCTACGGTGCATGCATGCACTATTAATACTTAAACCCTAATAAATGATACGGCTTGGGCAGGCCCAATACTGAATACAAAATAAATAAGCCTAATGACGTAATCTATTATACCCAACAATCTCCCCCTTTGCGTCAATTGAGGCCCGAACCCGTCAGCCTTGGATTCGCTTCTGCACATCATACACCTTCGGAATCATGGCATAAATTGCTTGGTGTACCTCAATGTACCATAGAACCATATCTGAGAAGCACTTGATATCATCTTTCTTGTTGCCTTTGAACTTTCTCACTTGGTCCAAAATGAACTCAAGGAAGTTTGTGGTATAGAGATGCTTATCAGTAAGATAGAAGCATCCTTTGCGATAATCTGCTACAGTTCGTTCCCTAGCAGAGTAGAACACAAACCAATCTCCACTGTAAAGTTTCCTGGCTTCAACTTTTTAAAATCCTTGGGAGTTTCCTTAAGAACAGCCGAAGGCTTCTTTCACAGGACATCAACAACTTCAACATCCATCTCTCCAATCTCCTGAATATATGACTTTATCATGAGCTTGAGATGACACATGACAAGTTCATATTTTTCTTTGTCCTTCAGCAATATGTTGTAGAGAGTGAACCTGTCATATGGGTTAAGGCATGGAAGATCTACAATAGTAAACTCATAGCATTGGCTGGCCGAACCTCTTGCCACTTTTAACTTAGCATTTGGAAAGCTATTAGTCTCTATCGGCCATTTAACCTTCACACCGATAATTTTGCTCAATGACCAGGTTTCATATTGTGGCGTCATATACTTCAGATAAAACAAAAATAGCATATGATCAGCTCCGCTGTCTGTGAATGCAGCGTTGGCCAAATCTGAAAGCTTTTGGAGTAATTGGCAGATCCAGTTGTGAGTCTCGTGTGTTCTGAAGATCAAACGAAACTACTAGTTCTAACCAATACTGGCTTGGAAGATCAACATCATCGCGCTGGATTTGCTTCAGGGTCTATTGGGGAAACAAGAGCTTTTTGCTCTGAAGAGTAGCATGTGCTTATTTCTCAGCTCTTTCTTTCTATTCAGCTTCACGGATGATATGCTGGTGCTCATCCAGTTCAGCTTCACGAACTTTTCGTCTTTTCAAATCTTCTTTAGTGGGCTCTTCCTCGACTTCAATATCAAGAATTGGGTCGTCACGGAACAACGTTTCCTTGCCTTTGGGTTCTATCTTGATAATAGGCTTGACAGGAGCTTCATGTCCTTCTTCTCTTGATCCACCAACCATACTTTCTCCCCCTTGTTTCGGATGAAAGGATTGATCAGAAACACCTTCAAGGCGGTGAAGAATGGCGAAGACGGGCTTTAACTTTTCTGCCAGATGCTTACGCATGGTGATGGTGATCATGGAGTCCCTCGTCTCAATGATATCCGAGAGCAGGCCAGTAACATCTGTTATACAGCTGCGCATGACTACCCTCTCAGATAACAGATAATGGACCTACTTCTCCAAAGCTTCAAGTTTAGTACTTAACACCTTCGCTTCTTCTGACTTGAGAGCGAGAGAGTCTTTCAGGGTACTCTCCTTCCCCGGTTCATCTTTAAGCTGAGAAAGCTGAGATTAGATAGTGGCTTGAAAGGATTCATGGTCAGTTTTAAGACTAGTACGAATCTCTTGGAGTTTTGTATTCTCAGTCTTGAAGAGAGAACCAAGACTCTTCAAAGCTTCGTTTGTTGACGTGGTGTTGGAATTGAAAGTGGTTTGGAAGTTCTCCATGAAAGAATTAGTATCTCTAATTAGTTTATCGACTTTTTCGTTCGTGGACTTGCAAACCTCAGCAGAATCAGCGATAGCTTTATTCAATGATTCAACAGTAGTAGAGTGTTGCTTCATGATTCGCTCAAAGAGAGACTCGACAGCTGCTTTGGCGTAGTCATCATAAGAGGATGATTTTTTAGAGAGAATCGATTGGTCAATCTTTTCATGGAGGGACTAGAGTTGCCCTTTCGTGACTTGAACCTCATCTTCACTCTCAGTCCGAATCTGTAGGGGACTGTAATTAAAACCACCGAGATCTTCGTCTTCATCATCACAAAAGACCATTTATGGGTTATTACGGTTAAAAAGGGAAATGGGAGGTGAGACATGAGTGGAGAAACCTGAAGTTTGAGCCCCCGTATCAGATACGTTCCGGAAACTGAAGGTGGGATTGAAGTAGTGACAAAACCTGATGTCTTTGCCCCCACATCAGATGCGTTGACATTGACGAGAGGTTCACCTGTGGTGGTTGTTGTAGTGGTTTCAGTGTAGATAGGTGGTGGCTGGGCAGCAAAGGGTGGTTGGTGTAGAAATAACAGGTGGTGATTGAGATGAAATAGGTGTTGGTTGAGATGAAATTGGTGGTGGGAAAGGAGCAATTGTGATAGGAATAGTAGAGCGAGTAGGAGAAGGAGGGGGAGTTGGAGCAGAATCGTTTAAAGGTACCTCTTGATGTGGGGAAGGTGGAGGCGAATCACCACGAAGCGAACCATCAGATTGAGAACTTTCGCTTTCGCTTGATTCTCCTTTAGCTGGATCAGAAGGAATGTACTCAGTATCGCTTGTTGAAGATGAGCTGGGCTGTAGAGTCATCTTTCTAAGCTTTTGCTTCTTTGGAGCCGGAGGAGTTGCACCTTGAGTCTTCCGCTTCTTAGGAGTTGGAGCATGAGAAGATTGACCTTCTTGAACCCGTTTCTTCTTGTTTCCCTTCTTGCCTACCTTTTTGGGTTTATCAGCTTCATCTATGGAGCGTTGCATCTTAGAAGTGAGCTCCATAGGACCCGAAACAGGATGCTTATTGTACTCAGTGATAATTTTGCTAGCCCCAGAAACACATATGTACATAGTCTCCGGAATACACCCCACAAATGAAAACTTTGAATTATTAGCGAGAATAATCTTCGTAGTGTGGAAGGTAGCAATCGACGACATTAATCAGTCCGCCATCACTGTAACATTGAACTATTCCATTTCCCGCTGCACCACAATCGTCTAGAAATGTACGCAAGTGATCTCGCTGTGTCGACATGAACAATTCATACTTTGCACCAGTTGAGCCCAAAGAACGGACCCATAATCATGGTTAATCCCATGGTAGAGGCCATAGAGGATTGTCATGAAGGATTTGCTAGCACATTCAGATCCAGTTACTCGCTCAGAGAAAGACTTGAAGAGAAGAGTAAATAGACCATTCCATTGGGGTGGAAGACATGACTTCTTGAACTTGGTGATAGTGGTGAGAAGATCATTATACCCCATTTGGTAGAACATGTCGAAGATCTGGGCAGTAGTAATAGTCTCCGGATTCACCAATGAGTCAACATAGTTTAGCCCTAGAAGAGAGTAAAACCTCGACTTAGAGATTGAGTGTTTCTTATCAAGAACTTCAAAGATGATCTTTTCCTCCTCCTTGACATACTTAGCAGATGAAAAGGCCTTCGGCAACAGTGACATTGGAACACTTTCAACCTTGGTTAAGGCAATAACCAAAGGTGAGTACTTCAAGCACTCGACAATGGGAAGCATGAACGCGTCATATTTGAATGGAGCCAAGTCGAGGACTAAGTTCTGCTTGGGCTTGATGGTGAGGAAAGAGGACTGAGCAGTGTGTTCTTGAACAGATGATGAATCGGCCATCGTTGCAGGTGCGTGAAGAAGAAGATGAACCGAAAGAAAAATCGTCGTTAGGTTTCTTCAGAGTATTGAGAGTGATAAAGAGAAATATGGGATATGTGAGAGCCTTTTATACGATGTACCAGGAGAGAGAAAGATCTTTGATGACGATTGCATGATTTTCTCTAAAAAGACGCCTGAAAAAGCACGATGTGACAACTGTTACTCCAAAAAAGGTGTCAGGCAGCGTGATGATAAAAAACCGTTTCAAATTCACGCGCCTTGTGGTTCGAAATCTTATCCGTTCCTCCACCTTGTCTTATTCCTGCCCTAAAGCTTCAAATTCCAATTAAATAATCTGAGCACCTTTTTTCCTTTTGAAATACAAGACCACCATAGCGTTAAGAAGCGAAACTGTGAATCTGAAAAACACCATAAGTACCACGGACTAGAGTTTTGGAAAATCATAAAGATCTTCGTGCAAGACTGTGCCAAAGAAAAAGAAATAAAGCAAAGTATATTTGTGGGATTGAGTGATGTCATATATGACACGAAACTGAGGATCCCGGGCACGAATCTCTTCCTTCAAAATCAAGAGAGACTGAGAAGTGTCTGTGTGGTTTCCCGTTGAAGTACGATCAAATGTTTGTTAAGAAACATTGAAAGGCATCTTTTTAATTTAGGCTTATGAGGTGGCTCTCGCATCAACCAAACTACGAACTTAAGATAAGAACGAAATTTGGATGAAGTACTTGTGTGGCCAGTGTAGCCTATAACATCAAGTAGGTTTGATAATTTTTCAGTGACTTGGTAAAAAGTTGGAAATCTCAAAAACAAAAACGAAATTGGATCTTTTGGGAAGAAATGTATTAGTTTTAGACAATTTAATAAAGATCTCGCAAAAATAAAAGAGATTTCGTGAAACAGCAAACAAAAGTGATCATCGTTGGAGTGTTAGTGAAAAACTAGAACATTCAGTTATTCACCGTCAATTCATTAAAGGTGTTGGATTGTGGGTTTCACTTAGCACGTGGTAAAACAAAACTAAGATCATCAACACAGATGTTGTGTAACCGTAAACCTTAGTGGTAAATGCTGAGAGTCTCAGGGGCCACGTTTATGAAACGAAATTGATGGAGAAAGGTGTTCAGGTAGTATAAGAAACGAAAGTACCTCTGCTATGCGATAGTGACTAAGCATATAACTCTTAACTCAATGTGAGAAGAGTAAGGTAGCTCATGACTTAAGTGAATTTAGCAGCCTGATTGGGAAAAAACGATTTATATATATCGAATCGATAAGGCTTCACTTTAGAGTCGTTGAGGCTTTACACAACATGCAGCAGCATGCTTCTAGGGACACTTAGCTAATACATAGATAAAGAAGGTTATACCTGCCCTTTCACGCGAAACTGTTGCCTCCATGATCATCTGAAAATAATTTTAGGTTTGTAATATGTGAAAATAAAAGAAATAGATAACATAAAGAAAATATTTTTGTATTTTTGATTTTCGAAATAAAACATAAAGGAAAGTATTTTTGTATTTTTGATTTTCGAAATAAATAAAAAAAATATATTTTTGTATTTTGAGATTTTCTAAATAAAACAAAAAGGAAAATATTTTTGTATTTTATTTTTCTGAAAAAAATAATTGAAAACAGAAAGAAAAATCTTTTTGGATTTTCTGAAAATGAATAAAAACAGAAAATATGTGAAACAAACGTTTAGAATGCATAAAATACAAAAGATACAAGAGTTCCAAACCACAAGAAGAAGTGAAATCACTAACCAACCGTTTGCTTATAAAGTATGAGTGTAGCGAATAGGAGCGAGTGTTCGTTCCATTTCGTTTGATAAAAACTTATAGAGCGAAGACGAAAGTGATACTCATGGAAGCGAAGGTGGTTTCGGAACCGATTCAACTTCCATCATTCCTAAGCCTTGGAGTATTCTATTAAAGGTTGCTTCAGGCAAGGCTTTCGTGAATATGTCAGCTAATTGATCAACAGATCGAACAAAATGAATCTCGACATTACCATCTTCCACATGATCCTTGATGAAGTGATATCTCACTGCGATGTGTTTCGTTTTTGAGTGTTATACTGGGTTGTGACATATGCGAATTGCGCTTTTGGAGTCACAGTAACTTTTACCATAGTCTCTTAATTGACTTTGAGTCCATATAACCTGTGAAGCACATGACGCTGCAATGATGTACTCAGCTTCGGCTGTGGATAAGGATACGCATGTTTGTTTCTTAGACTGCCAGCTGACGAGTTTGCCTTCAAGAAATTGACATCCGCCAGTAGTGCTTTTTCTATCCAATCCACATCCTCCAAGATCAGCGTTTGAGAATGCTTGAACGAAGAACCCTGATTTTGTTGGATACCATATACCAAGAGATGAGGTTTGCTTCAGTTATCTAAAGATGTTCTTGACAGCCACCATGTGAGCCTCGCGTGGATTTGGTTGAAACCTGGCACAATAACAAACGGAAAACATAATACCTGGTCTACTAGTTGTTAGATACATCAATGAGCCTATCATTTGACGATAGAGAGTCTTATCAGCAGCTGGTTTTTCCAGAGATGGAGTTAGCTTCGTTCCGAATACCATTGGAACCTTCACTCTTGAGTCTCCCATCATTCCCAACTTGGTCAGTAAAGTTTTTGTGTAAGATTCCTGATTTATGAAAATGCCTTCTGGTCCCTGTCTTATATTTAGTCCAAGGAAAAAGTTA